CTCTGTTAAAGGCCCTCCACCCTGCTGGCCAAGGCAATCTTATCTGCTTCCTTAGCTTTGTTGTCACTGTTAATTCCCAAATCTATAACACATGTGGTGTCCGAGGCCCAGCCTCCTCTTACACTGGGCCTACTGTCTCACAGAGACCATTGTCACTAAGATTCTGGCTCTGCATGTGCTCCCCACTAGACTCACTCCCTCACACCCCCAAGGCCAGAAAACTTTTACTCTCCTCTTTTCCTTATTCCCTGTTCCCAGTTACTGTTTCATCCTGTTGATACTATCTTTGAAGTTTTTCCTTTTCCATCCCTCCCACAGTGTCCCTGTCCCAGTTCTGTGAGCAACCCTCAGGGCTTTAGCACCAGCTTCCTAACTGGTGACCCTACTCACACTCATTCCTCAAATTCCAACAGTCTCCACACGGGAGCCAGTGAGCCGTCTCCTATACACAGATAGCCCATTCACTTCCTGAATCTCCTCCAAGCTTCTCCACATTATCCCACAAGTATTTTTTTACCACCTATGAAGTGCAAGTATTGTTTTAAGAAGTATCAATATGGCAGAGAATAAAACCATGTTCTTGCCTTCATGAAAGCAAAGGTAAAGGCATAGCTTGGCAGGGCCTGTCACAATGTTCTTGCTTGCCTACTAGTCTGCTGGCTTACACATAATTATACCTAATTTGCCACTCTCCTGCTTCAGGCTTCCTGGCTTTGCCTGGACTCTGCTGGGACTGTCTCCTCCCCACCTCCACCCTTACCTGGCCACACACACACACATACACACACACACACACACACACACACACACACACACACGCACACATACATACATATGCGCGCACATGCACACACTTCAGTTCCTCTGGTGTACTTTACAGATGTGATCTCCAGGATACTATAGTTCCAAATCTTAGCTTTGTGCGTAATATCTATGCTCCAGATTTTCATCTTAAAAAGAAAACAGTATCGATTGATTATGAAAATTAAGTTCAGTCCATAACAATGCTTAGATACTTTAAGTGTGTGACAAATAATAAACCTGCCATTACTTTTCTCTTAGCAGTGTTGTTGTTATATTATTATTGTACCACTCATCTCACTGCTCTGCGATTATCTCCCCTATTAAGCACACTTTGTTGTCTTTATCCCTGCACATAGTAAGGAGTTACTAAGTGTTGAGGGAAAGATAGAAAAATCAGCTGATTTGGTCCTGTGGCTGGGGTTTCCTGTGACCAAGCAGGATTATGGAGGAATAACAACAACCTCAAAGGCTTCCACTGCTATCTTTTTGACCAGGTATCTAATTGTGTACTGTTTTCATTGTGTGCACAAGAGCTGCAAAGGATTGAGCAAGAATAGAGAATTAAGTTGGGTTGAATTTAACTGGAGACAAACTATTTACATTCCTTTATTCATTGACTCATGGGGTCAAGACTCAGACCCTGCAATGACTACCCCAAAGCAGCCATTACCTTCAACCCCCAGCCCTTTGCCCCACTGCATACTTTCCATTTGCCCTGGCTCCACACTACCATGTCCCTTTCAACAGTGTTTCAGCTGAAGCCCAGGAAGCAAAAGGAGTGAGGCAGGGAAAGGGGAAGGGGTGGAGAAGGGTTAGCACCTTTCTTTTTCCTTTGCTGAGATCAAAGGCAGTATGTTCCCTTGAAGGCTGGCTAGCCCCTTTCATCTCCTGACCCACCTGCCTGGATGGGACTGCAGTGTGCCCATTTCCTTTCCTCCTGGGGCTGGAGGGCAGTTGCAGGGTGGAGCCATGAGCTATTTCTAGGGCTAGCCAAATCCCTCCATCTCAACATCTTTTTTTCATACCGTGATCATTTTTACTCTCCACCTCAACCAACAGTAACAAGTTGCAAGACCCTAGGACCAGAAACTATGAGATAAAAGTCAGTTTCTTGGCTGGCCCTAGGCTAATCCAGTGGCTGAAGCAAGTGGGGAGGCCAGAAGACTTGGTCTGGAAAAAAGAACAGGCTCTTCTTTCTATATCTCCGCCCTGAGCACTTCACCCAACATTCCTCAGAGTATAGAGGAGACGGAGTTAAACAAGGGCCTCTTGCCCCCAGGAGAGAAGAATTCACATTTATCAGAGTCCTACTATATCCCAGGCTCCAAGTTAGGCCCTTTGATAGATATTATCTCCTAACAGCCCAAACAGGTCAGCATTATTCATCCCTGGGGTGGAAATGATGAAACATATTAACAAGCTTACCCCAGACACACAACTAAATCCAGGCGCCAAATTCCAGCTGTCTCTGACCCCAGCACCACTGTTCTTTCCACCCTGTCACATTACCTCCAAAGCCCAGGAACACTGTTTGAGCTGAGGTGACTCTGAATTACCCCACATAGTTAACCAGACACCTAGATAAGCCCTTAGCAAATGAACTTAATTCAACATACATTTAAGGGAAAAACTGATGACTTGAATTGGGCTCTATGGGCTGTGCAAAGAGAACATGGCAGGGTTTGTAGTCTAGCAAAGAGGACACAACAAGTGCAAACGTATAACACAGGAGCCGAGGCTTTAAATACAGCCTGTGGGCTCACTTGGCCTCACCCAAGCCAAGCCTCAAAGACTGGGAGCAGACAGCTGCTGTGAATAACTGGCTTCCAATACGGGGACTTTCTGACACCATCTGGGTCCCCCCCAGGCTGAGAATAGTGCAACTAGCAGGACCTGAGGAAAACCGTATTTGATTAGCATGGAAAGCCAGACTTGGCTATTACCTGCAGTCAGTCTGTTTCAGCAAAGAATGGGTCATTGATGACACTGCGCAATGCATGTGTGGTTCAATCAGTTAAAGCCAGGTGCAAATGAAGCCAGGATAAGAGACTTAATCTTAGTAGATCTGTTTTGTCACAGGGCCGGCAGTTCTGGCTCCAGCTGACCATGTGGTTAGCAACCATATGCTCTTTGTCAGAGGGGACTGAATGAAGTAGGAAAAGGTAGGTAATCACATAGTAGGCGCTTAAATGAGAACATGCTCTTCCAGACCCCTGGCTCCAGACAAAGAGCTTACAGCATGCCTTGTTGACCAAAGATCCTCAGTGTCAGCTCTGCACGTGGAGACAGCAGTCACTCCTTTTATATCTCAGCTAGGCACCCTGCCTCATATATTTTTATAGTACTCTGATGCTAAGGGTGTGGGTCTCCACAAAGAGCTGCTTTGATGCAGCTGCCTGTGTTCTGTGGCTCTAAGCCTGTCTTTTCCATTCCCATAAGATGAGCACATCACTTGACACTTCTCAGGAGAAGAGGCCGCCACACCTGTTTGCAGCCTTCTCTTCTACAACTTGAACTAAGGGGCCCTCCTTGGCTAAAAATAAGTGCTTCTCCAGTTTCTTCCACCATGATGGGGTGTTTAGTTTCTAGATATGTCCCCTACCCCAGGTAACCCTGCTTTTCTGTTTGGGATTTGGTAAAGATGATTCTACTCAAGGTAGCTTCCATCTCTGAAATTTGGGGTGCCAGGAATCACAGAATAATATCTCTGGTGAGGACTAAGTGTGTCTCCCTTTCTGGGTCCATTCACACACATGGCATGAGAAACTCCAGCACAATCTTGGGAAGTTTCCTTTAAATTAAACACACAGGATTTTCTTTCACAGTATGCAAAAGCTATGTCCCTATAAAATTAATCTCATGGATTCTGCAAAGACATTGTTAGAATGTCTAGAAGTTGTTCCACAATATCTCCCACGGTGCCAGGTGTACATCCAGACTCCTAACAAGGATAATGTAAATGACAGTGGCAGTAACTGAAGGTTTTTTGAGTGTCATCAGAGTCACAGCATATTGAGATCCCTGTTTTCATGCCTGCTATACTGTTTGAGGTTTTGTTTTCAGGGAATTTGGATTCCCTGGTTTACTTAGCACCTAACAATGTCACATCGTGTTCAAGACCACACGTGCTCTCTCCAGAGAGTGCATACAAATACTATTTTTGTAAAAAAAAAAAAAAAAAAAAAAACAACTAAACAAATTGTAGCTTTGAATATTTCTCATTCAAAGACTGATCCCATTTGAATGATTCCCTTTGTTCCAGAGTGTTTTTCCCCAAGTGGGCCCTAACAGAAGCTAAATTAGATATCGTGACTTCCCAAAGGTCAAAGAGAGTCATCTAGTGAGGAGCTAGAAATAGAATCTGCCAGGCTTTATTTTGATTCCTTGAATTTAAAAGCATAAACTTTATTATAAAGAAAGAAAAACTGAAGCAGTCTTAGTAGACTTATTTGCCATTCCTGGAGCAGGGAATCCAAGGCAATAAAAGCTAATGGGCTGTGAGGCCAAGAGATTAATAAAACCCAGGGACTGCCTGCCTTCAGAGAGCTCCTTTCCAGTAGGGAGAAGAAAGTGTTGTCCGATGCTTATGAGCACCTAGAGGACCCTCATGGAAGGCTCATACACCTTTATAGCCTTCCATGCAACTGCCACTATGACCTGCATGTGACATGCAAGCAAGTACTGTCTATCTGAATAGTGGCCATAAGAGAGACATCAGCAGAATGCTGTGGAGGTTGGCAGAGAACGAAGGACAGCTTTGTGAAGGAGCTGGCATTTGAGCTGTGCCTGGAAGGTGAAGAGGTTTTTTTCTGCAGATAGCATGGATTGGGGGTTCAGAGAAGCAGTGAGTTCTAAGGAAGAGCAAAGCATGGGGAGAACGCAGTGAGCTAGTATGCTAGAGTACAGGGAGCATGAAGACCTATGGTTGGAGCTAAAAAGCTGAGGCCCAAGCAGAGGGACCCGTGACAGTAAGCTCCCAAACTTCACAGTGGCTGTCACTGAATGTCTAAACAAGTGAACACATTGATACTACCAAGGCAGAGCTTCCTGCCACATCGTGCCATTCTGCCCTTTGAGGCTGCCCTGGCGTTGTGAGGAATGGTGAACTTCTTTTGATTGCTCTGTTTGTATGTGGTTTGGTTTGGAGGTTTTATGTGGTTTTGTTTGTTTTTTTGGCCTTTCTCTTTTCCTTACAGTTTTTCACAGCATATGGTCCTGATTATGTGCTGGAAATCACGCCAAGCTGCCGGCCAGACCGCAATGAGCCCCAACGCATCCAGCAAATCCTCGACTACATCAAAGGTGAGCACCACCCTCCAGTCCTGCCCTCCTTATTCCACCCAGTGTGTGGTGGCCTGCCACTGAGGGCTTCTTCAAATACCATTTGTCTTTTGGCAGCTAATCATTCCACTGACTTGGAAAGGAAACCTCTTTTTAGCCTAACATCTTGTAGCTGAAATTCTACACAAGCCCCTCTAGTTGAGATTGTCACTTGGCTGGCTAATGTCACCTTCAGAAGAACAAAAGGTTCAGCTTTAAGGAACTTCCAAAAGAAAATCAGTTCTAAAATATTCTGAGAGCCTTTTTCTTTGAAAAGGCCAACAGTAAAACCATCTTTAAGAGCTAGGGTATGTGTCTCAGTGGTAGAGCATTTGCCTACCACCCAGTCTTCAACCAATACTAAAAAAGCAAAGCAAAACAGAAAAACTGCTCTTTAAATTGAGGGAAACTCAGGTGAATTTAGACTTGAGGGGCTGGGATAGGTAAGAAATTCCTCCCCCCAAACACTGTTTGTTTGTTTGCTTGCTTGTCTGTTTTTCAAGACAGGATTTCTCTGTGTAGCCCTGGCTGTCTTAGACTAGCTTTGTAGATCAGGCTAGCTTTGAACTCACAAAGATCCACCTACCTCTGTCCCCAAAGTGCTGGGATTAAAGCTATGCACCACCATGCGCGGCCCCCAGACACTTCTGTAACATAGTCTAAGAGAGCCTTGCAAGTCTACAGAAGTCCAGTGAGTAATCAGGGATTTTGATGATCTTGGAGGAGGCTCCAGCCTTGCTCTTAGAACCCAGGAATACAACCCCCAACTAAATTATTCTGTCCCCAGGAAAGACAGGAATGGTAGTCATGGCTATATAGTCCAGTCACTTTTTGGAGGTCTTTGCCCTTAGCTTTCCATTAGATCCCCTCCCAGCCTCTTAGCTGCCTTTTTAAAGAAACACTTCTCATCTCTCATTTAAGTATTTAAAGCAGTAATTTTCCTGTTAACTCTATGTATGTGTGTGTGTGTGTGTTTGGATCCTATTAGCGGAGTTAAGAGGCCAAAGGTATCATGTTGCCTGCCACAAAAAGTGAAATTCTCTTTATTCATAAAATGACAAATATGGTGCCAATACTCTCACATTGGACCCCTCCTGAGGTGTAATCCTGTCTGAAGAGAGGCCTGCTCAAAGCTGGGCTTCATCTAAGGGAATGTGCAATATTCTGACGGTCTTCTCTGAAGGTTATGTTCAGAATGTACTTGATGACAACAGCAAAGCCTGTAGCAAGGACTGTTTCATGGGCTCCTTTGACCTGAGACAATTTTCTATGCTAATGAGCCATAGACTCTCACAGTTACACTCACAGCTCATTGCCCCTTGTAAGGTCCTGTAACCCAAACCTTCTGCCTCTAATGTATCAAACCACCTTCCTCTGGTCTCCTAATGGCTACCAACTCTACAAGACCTCACTTTCTAACACATCTCCCTCCCTTCTCAAAGCCTTAAGACCTTCTAATTCCTTCTATTGCTGGCCCTTCTCACTGTGCTATAATCTGGATAAAGACTGGATATCTGCACCCCTCATCCTTGGCTTCCCTCTGTTCCAGAACACTGTTCCTGTTTTCCTTGAGATTTATTCTGAACCAGTTTTTCTTGTTACTCTTTCTTCTATCTTGACATACTCCTATCCAGGCTCTAAATTCTGGTGGCACCCAAGGCACGCACACACAAACATACACACCTCTGCTGCAGCCTGCTCCTACCTTATGTGTGCACATGTATGTATGTCCCTGCCTCCCTGACACATTCCCAGGCACATCACTCCAGACAGTGGTGACATTCACTGTTGGGGAAATGAACTTGTGGGAGGTAATGCAACGGGAAATGATCTAGAAAAGAAACCTAAGTGAGGAAGGAATAAGTGAGGGTGACTCAAAATAAAAGGTGATGCTGAGGGTTAGTTAAAACAAAAAGAATATACCCTGGAGAACACAGAAGTCAAATTGTTGAAGTGTATTAGCAAGTGAAGGCAGTAATTCATACAGTAACACAATGAATTTCAGCAGGGAAAGAGCATCTAAGCCAGGAACTTGGTTCTCAAAAGAGACTACATGCAAGCAAAATGAGATGCAGCTTAACAGCATTTTGTCTAAAAGAGAATTAGAGATGGTAGTTGACACAGAGTTCGGTATAAGTCACCAGGTCAAGGTGGCCTCCAGAAATGCTAATGCACTATCGACCTCACTTTAAAACAGCTCTAGATAAATAGGATGTTCTAGATAAATAAATGTTACAGGAGTTCAGCTTGTCTGGGGAAGGTACTGGAGCCCAAGCACCAAGAGGTCTGAATAGAGTAGCTGGTGCTTTCTGGAGAAGAGAAAACTTGGGGGTGGGGGTGGGGAGGAATGAGACCTGCCTCGGTTCTCTGTGAGGCTGTCACAGAGCAGGAGAGTCTCTATCTGGCTATAGGGCATAGGGATGATTTCATGGATGGGTGACATAAAATGACTGATTTTCATTCATTAGGAGGAGGAATTTATAACAATTAGAGCTGTCCAAAGTGGAACAGGGTGTCCAGAAGAGAATGATGACTGTCACTAGGGATGGAGGGTGGGGAATAGAGGATCACCTGGCTGAAAGAACTCCTCTTGCCTTGGGAGAGAGTTCCTTTCAACCTTAAAATTCCAGACACTCTACATTGCAATGACAGCACAGAGAGAATGAAAAGGATCTAGTGAAAGCTTAGATTGGCTGATGAGTCACTGTGTTGGGTGAGGAAGGAATCCTGAGTATAGGAAAGAAATGATACAGACACAAAGAGAAATGAAGTCAATAAGAATGGGTAACAAAGAGCCAGGAGGGTAGGCGGCACAGACAGTGAACATAGAATACTAGAAATGTTCAGGTTTTCCATTCACTCTCTTTTGTAGTTTTTTCCATCCGTAGCCCTGCAAATTAACAAAGCACATGAGTCCAGAACTAAAAAGAAAACTCAGCTCAACCTAGAAGAATTGAGGCTAGAAAGAAGTGCAAATGCTACTCAAAATGGCCAAGCTAACCTGCTATACTGATACTGCATAACCAGGTGCCCCTCAGCCTGGTTACGCAGGCTGCCATCAGATAGTGTGTTGCCATGACAATGGTCAGTGTGGAAAGGCTTTTGAGTTTTCTGTATTCTGAAAGATTTCCTTAACCAGCCTTCAGGACTGTCATTTGTTCTTGCATATGAAAAACCCGGTGACACTGGCTGCTCCTCACTGTGCCTCCCCCGTCCCATTAAAACCAAGAGCAGGGTGCCAGTCACAGGTTGCTTAGGGAAGGTGAGAGGACATGAAGGGGATAAATGAATTCAGCCACTGTGCAAGGGACTTTATCCCCAGTAGGTCTTAGTCTAGTTGAATTTGTTCAGCCTTGGGTTTTTGTTCTCTGTTGTTTTTTTTTTCTTTTCTGTTCTCTCACTCAATCCCTTAGAAACATAAATAATGAGATTTTAGCCTACTGGAAATCAAACCCCAGAAGATTCATCTTACAGAGTTTTACACATTGTACATGCCACAGGAGAACTAAAGGCAGAGGCAGATGTAAATTGCACTTAACCCATCTTTTCTCCCCATCAGTCTTAAAAAGAAAAAAGAAAAAGAAAAAGAGAGTCAACTTAAGCTACTCATTTTAGACATAGAAAAGGTCTGTTTTTCTTTTCACAAACTGTCCTTCTTGTCCCCAATGAACTACCCCAAATGTACATTTCACTGCTCCCAAGAAAGTCCATATTAGAGAGTGCATGACTGAACACAGTTCATGACTACTAGTGTGAAATCGTCCTTGCCCCATCTCCACATGCTTGAAGTTGTTTGCCTTTCCTCTGGTTAACATACTCCAGAGGAATTAGCTCATACTGAACCTTCCAGAGCTGGAACAGTGCTGATGTGATCAGTCCCCAGAGGGGCCCAGCTAGCTCAGCATGGGGAAATGGGGTAGAGGTAAGAGGTTTGCTGCTCTGCAGTACCGATGGCATTTGAAGTGAATAGGGGCCACCTGGGGCTCTGAGCTTCCTGTTTCAGCCAGACCCAACCCTCTGAAAAGAGGGGAGGGTGCACTGTGCAGTTGCATGACGTGGAATTAGAACTGGAGGTTTCAACACATGCTCAGAGTTTTCCAGAACTAGCCCCCAAACTTGTCCTGGGATGCGGAAAGAAAAGAATAGTATCAAGAGGAAGAGGAGGTAAGGGGAAAGAACAAGGCCCCGGCACACCTGCCCTTTGCAATCCTTACTGAAGAACATTGACAGTGCAGCAACCTGTACAGGACAGGCTGGGGAGGGACAAACAGACTGATGTAAGCATGGGGGGAGGGGGAGAAAACACAAGTGAAATAATAAAAATAATATTTACTGTGTTTCTTCTAGATGAAGAAACTAAGGCTCAGAGAGAACAAGTGACTTCTTAGCCAAGGTCCCCTTCCTTCATTCAGCAAGTACTTACTAACCACTTCCAGGCTGATTCACAGTGTGTCACAAGGGGTAGCACAGACCTTTGAACCCAGGTCTATCTCAGTGGGAACTTTGCAGTCAGGTTCTTTGGCCATTCCGGTTCCCTGCCTCTCCTTGGCAGCATTGCCCTGTCAAATATACTCACAATTCTTATCCTATGTGCTTTATCCAATGACCCCAACCCCAGGAAACTCATCTTACCCCTACACTGCTTACCCTGCTCCTTCCGTACAGCTGATCCAAAGCACCTGAAATCCTGAAAATCACTGGAAACAAGAGGAAAGTGTCCATGAGCAACCCCTAAAGTTCTGGCCCCTAATCTATGCCTTTTAGTGTTCCCCAGACCTCCACTGATGCCAGGGCTCCATCAGATCCCACCCAACTGAAATCTGGAGTTTTGAACTCCATTCTGAGCTAAATAGAGGGCAGGACAAAAGGAGCTAGCTCCACAGCTCCAAGACACGTCTCGTATACTATGGCCACCAGCTCCAGTCTGCTTTTTCCAGTTCCACAGCCGCATGCTGAGACCCTTCGAAATCTGCTCCTAATAT